TTGTCAAACCCAAATTATGACACAGAACCTGACGAAGGTTTAATCTGACAAAGGTTTATATTTTCTGACAAAGGTTTAAGAAATCTAAAGTTAATCTCATTTTATTTAGCAAATATAGCTACAACTAGCATTCAGAAGGATAAAATTACCCCAGCCAATCCAAAAATGATTTGTAGTCTAAACTAAGAAAAATCTACACACTGACAAAAAACAAAAATTGATCATTTTATTTCTTAATTTTAGACTCAGGTAGAGAAGCAGTCAAAAGCCCTCTCCATTCCAAGGAGATGGGGAAAAAATTCACCATTTTTGTGTCTTAGTGTTTAAACTCAGTGTGGAAAACATTATCAAATGTGTTTAACAACTGCTTCAAATAATAATAAAACCCGCATACTATACATTAAAATAAAATCTGCTGAAGATACAGCCTACATCCCTTCTACTACAACCACAGAGAAGCACATTTTTAAGAGGTAAGTTAGGTTTTATATTCAATAATATTCCTTGGACAATAAAGAAAGGGAGAAAAAAGCTGTTACTACTTTGAGCCAGTCCATTAAACAGGGACATTCGTGAAGAGTCAGCCAGTAAACCCTCTGGAAAAGGTGCACAGGTGGAGCTGGTTTGCCTGTTCTCAGAGTGACTGATTCAAATATTCAAATATTTTATGACTGAGGTAGTAATGAGGCAAAAAAGGAAGACCTAAAATTAAATAAATGAAATCAATCACCAAGTATTGACTAAGTGACCCCAAAACGAACCCATGTACTTGGTAAATGCAAGTACAGGGTATAATGCTTGTTCCCATGGAATTTATGACCTAGTCTAGAAAGCCAAGACTAAAATACATGAAGGTACAGTGACTACACCATAGCACATGACCATGTTGATGGTCTCAAATGGACCACAGAGTTTAAGTACTTTGTATTAGAAATCTACTAACAAAATTTATACTAACATATTAAAGGAGAAAAACCACATCATCACCAGATGGAGAAACACCATGATAAAATTCAATAGCTGGCCAGGCACAGTGGCTCATGCCTGTAATTCCAGCACTTTGGGAGGCCAAAGCAGGAGGATCGCTTGAGCCCAGAGTTTGAGACCAGCCTATGTAACTTAGTGAGACCCCCTACAAAATATTTTAAAAATTCCACTCAGGAGGCTGAGGTGGAAGGATAGCCTGAGTCCAGGAGGTTAATGCTACAGTGAGCCATGATTGCACTACTGAACTCCAGCCTGGGTGAGAGTGAGACCTTGTCTCAAAAAAAAAAAAAAAAAAAAAAAAAAGAGAGAAAAATTCAATAGCCAATCACAATGAAAACTCTTAAACTAGAAATTAGAAGGAATTTTCCTGATCTGTTCAAAAAAATCACAAACATCATACTAAAACTTGAAATTTCCATTAAAAGCAGAAACAAAACTAGATGTCCACTCTTGTCACTTCTGCTGGAAGTCCTAGCTTACACAACAAAAGGAAGAAAGAATAAATAAGAGTAATAAAAATTGGAAAAGGATACAAAACTGTCATTACCTTCACTGGTTCACTTCCAAGTTAATCTATAGACAAATGACTAACTAGAGCTAAGAGGTAGACAAGCTTGCTGGATACAAAATCAATATACCAAAATTACTGGCATTTCTATACCTCAGCAACAACTAATTTGAAAATTAAAAAGAACACCACTCGAAACAACACAAAACGAAAACATACCTAGAAATAAACATAATAAACAAGGTGCAAGATAATTATTCAGAAGCTAATGAAAAAACATGTGAGAACTAAATAAATGAGGAAATAGAACATAATAGTGTAACAGTGTAAGGCTAAGCATGGCGGTTCACACCTGTAATCCCAGAAATTTAGGAGGTCGAGGTGGGCGGATCACATGAGGCCAGGAGTTTGAAACCAGGCTGGCCAACATGGCGAAACCCTGCCTCCACTAAAAATACAAAAATTAGCTGGGCATGGCGGCACACGTCTGTAATCCCAGCTACTTGGGAGGCTAAGGCATGAGAATTGCTTGAACCTGGGAGGCAGAGGTTGCAGTAAACCAAGATTACACCACAGCATTCCAGCCTGGGTGACAGAGCAAGACTGTCTCAAAAACAAAACAAAACAAAGATGTAATAGTGTAAAGGTTTCAGGAGCATAAGTCATCAGGAGGGCCTCACAGGACAAGACGAGAGTGGGACCATGAAGAGTAATTAGGAAGGCAAAAAGGACAAAGGGAAAACCAGCTGGGTGCGGTGGCTCATGCCTGTAATCCCAGCACTTTGGGAGGCCGAGTTGGGTGGACCACTTGAGGTCAGGAGTTCAAGGCCAGCCTGACCAACATGGTGAAACCCCATCTCTACTTAAAAAAAAAAAAAAAAAAAAATTAACCAGGTGTGGTGGCACATGCCTGTAATCCTAGCTACTTGGGAAGCCGAGGCAGGAGAATCGCTTGAACCCAGGAGGCGGAGGTTGTAGTGAGCCGAGATTGTGCCATTGCACTCCAGCCTGGGCAACAAGAGTGAAACTCTTTCTCAAAAGAAAAGGGGAAAGAAAAAAAAGAAAACCAGTGGGAAGGTATTAAAACAAGATGGTTCACAGGTTGGTTACAGATCAGTAAGATTAGCCGAGCCAATCTAAAACAGAGGATTATATACAGAAGAGCAATGGGAAAGGACTAGATTACCAAACCTTGAAAGTAAAAGTGGTTATTTATGATTTGATGTGGCAGGAGGCAGAGACCATAGGCAGTTTCTGAGCATGTGAATAAGGCAATTAATATGGGATGATTACCCTGGCAGCTACCAGAGAGGACAGAGCCAAGGTCAGCAAGAGAAACAAGTAGAGGCAACAGCCCTACTTCTCTATGGCTTATCAGACTATATGGTGCCATGTTTTAGAGAGGATTCAAAAGCTAGAATATTTAGAGAAATGTAACCAGCGTGAACTCGAAATCGTGAAGAATGGGTGGAAGAAGTAAAAAAGTTTAGCCTAAAGACAAGACAGGAGGGGGAATAAGAGAAGTGCCAAGGCAGAATGCTCTGCAAATACATAAAAGGTTCTCATTTAGATTAGAATTGCTCTTTAACACTGAGAAGCAGAACCAGGTGAGGAGGCACTGACCAAAACGAAAGAGATTAACAGACGAAATAATGAGCCTGTTGCAATAAGTGACCAAATATAAACAGGATGCCCCTGAGAAGTGGAGACTGAAGCACGGGCACATTAGCTGGACTACAGAACCCAAATATAACCCTTCCAACTCAAAACCTACAATTCTACACCAGCAAGCTAGTGTAGGCAGTCCAGGAGTGGAATGAAAAGGACCCGCTCGACAAAGCTGGCAGTGGGAACATATGGAGAGAACTCTTCATCGGGGGGCAGTAAAGACTGAATGGCTTAAAACGATAGCTAACATTTGCTGAGTGTTTATTATGTGCATTCTCTCTCCTTTTGTTTTTTGAGATACAGGCTGTCATACAGGCTGGAGTGCAGTAGCACAATCTTGACTCACTGCAACCTCCATCTCCCAGGTTCATGCGATTCTCCTGCCTCAGCCTCCCCAGGAGCTGGGATTACAGGCACCCACTACCTGCCAAGCTAATATTTGTATTTTTAGTAGAGACGGGTTTTCACCCTGTTGGCCAGGCTGGTCTCAAACTCCTGGCCTCAAGTGATCCGCCCACCTCGGCCTACCAAAGTGCATTCTCTTTTCATGAGTAAACTCATGTACTTCCCAATGTCGTAAGACAGGTACTATTATTGCCCAATTTATGTTCAGGACACGGAGGCAAAGAACAGTTAAGTAATTTGTTCAAGATTACACAGTAGGTAAAACATGTGCCTGGCACATGACAGGTAAATAATACAGGAAGTAAAGGGGAGAAAAAAATTAAAGATTATGCCAACATTTCAAATTTGAGAGACTTAGGGGAGGGGAACAAAGAAGAGAGGTAAGGTCGGGAATGAGGGAAGAGGGGAAGAGAGGGAAGAGGTTATCAGTCCAGGATAAGACAAAAATATTCAGCTGGCAGCTGATGCCATGAAACTAGAACTCAGAGAAAAGGACTCAGGTAGTGTTGGTAACTGTCTGCAGAGGTAAAAGGTGATGGCATGACAAGGAACACACTCCTTAAGGGGATTTTGGAGAGAAGAGCAGAGGGTCAAGGACTGAGCCTTGAGCAATATACAGAAACCAAGAGCAGAAAGAAGCAGCCAGTAAAAATAGGAGAGATTAGACAGAGCAGCTTCCCAACTGTTACACCCAGATATGATCCCCTCAGCCCTTGCAGCAGCCAGAGCTCACTTTCCTCTAAGTTCCTTTGTAAAAGTAATTATAAGCTGGGTGCAGTGGCTCACGCCTGTAACTCCATCACTTTGGGAGACCAAGACAGAAGAATCACTTGAGACCCAGAGTACTGAGAGATGGAGTCACAAAGGCCATGGAGGAGAGATTAAAGACAACGTGATTTAAGAGCACTGAGTGCTTCAGGCTTCAAGAGGTAAGGAAAGCAACAGATGGCTGGGTGCGGTGGCTCCCACCTATAATCACAGCACTTTGGGAGGCCAAGGCAGGCAGATCACCTAAGTCAGGAGTTCAAGACCAGCCTGGCCAACATGGTGAAACCCTGTCTCTACCAAACATATAAAAATTAGCTAGGTGTGGCAACACACTCCTGTAATCCCAGCTACCCAGGAGGCTGAGGCAGGAGAATCGCTTGAACCCGGGAGACAGAGGTTGCAGTGAGCCAAGATGGTGCAACTGCACTCCCAGCCTGGATGACAGAGTGAGATTCTTTCTCAAAAAAGAAAAAAAGCAATGAATTACAACAACAGCATCATAGACACAAAGCCCCCAGCAATGTCTTCGTGTTAGCTTCCCTCTGAAAGCATCTTTAAAATAACTCTAACTAAACCTTACAATTAAGGAAGTAGTAGTTTTCCTCAGGTAGTGTTGGTACCTGTCTGCCAAGAGCTGTCTTTTACTGCGGTAAAAGAAAGGAGGGTGCTCACTTTGGTAGCACATACGCTAAAACTGGAATGATACAGACATTAGCATGGCCCCTGCGAAAAGACGACACGAAAATCCCTGAAGCATTCCATTAAATAAAAAAAAAAAAAAAAGTTGGCTGGGTGCGGTAGCTCACACCTGTCATCCCAGGACTTTGGGAGGCTGAGGCAGGTGGATCACCTGAGGTCGAGAGTTCGACACCAGCCTGACCAACATGGAGAAACACTGCCTCTACCAAAAATACCAAATTAGCCAGGTGCGATGGCACATGCCTGTAATCCCAGCTATTTAGGAGGCTGAGGCAGGAGAATCACTTGAACCCGGGAGGTGGAAGTTGTGGTGAGCCGAGATAGTGCCATTGCACTCCAGCCTGGGCAACAAGAGTGAAACTCCATCTCAAAAAAAAAAAAAAAATTGCTAGGAGCGGTGGGTGGCTCAAGCCCATATTCCCAAAACTTTGGGAGGCTGAGGTGGGAGAATTGCTTCAGCCCAAGAGTTCAAGACCAGCCTGGGCAATATAGTGAGACTCTATCTCTACTATTAAAAAAATTTTTTAAATAAAGAAGGAAAACTGCAGTAAAAGGGGGAAATCACAGAAACGAGGTCTCCTCAAGATAGAGGGCACCTATTTTAATCTGAGGAGGAATATGAACAATGGAAGAAAGATCAGCAACACAAGCAAGTGCAGTGGTTTCCAGACTGCTCCACTGCAGGAGAAACACCTGAGAGGGTTCCAAAATGTGAGCTGAGTGCACATACTTCACTTGTGGCTGTTTCATCACTTCCAAACCTTTCCTATCACCTATCCTTCTGGGAGAAGCTAATCCCCACTTCTGAGAAGAAACTAAATCAGGGTTCGAAGAACACCTTGCAAAAGAAAATCTGAATCCTTGTTGATTGCCCCTGTTTTTAAGCTCTTTAATGTGTTAACTCATTTTTAAGCCTCACAACAAAATCATGAAGTGGGTTTGCATTTTCAGATGTGGAAATGGAAGTGCAGAAAATGTCAACAGCCCACCCGCGCTGTGGTAACAGCTTGAAAATGATAGGTTCAAACTGAGAAGTCTGACTCTGAAGTCTAACCTCTTAAACACTAGAACACGATGGTCATTGTTTTATAGATGAAATGACCTAATGCAAAGAGAAATACCTGCTTAACTTCAGTCAGTGACTCATTTGACAGAGGTGAAATCAATGTGGAAAAGTAATGCTAACCACTTCTCTCCTGGTCAACATGGTGAAACCCCATCTCTACTAAAAATACAAAAAATTAGCTGGGCATGGTGGCAAGTGCCTGTAATCCCAGCTACTCAGGAGGCTGAGGAAGGAGAATTGCCTGAAGCCAGGAGGCGGAGGTTGTGGTGAGCCGAGATTGCACCATTGCACTCCAGCCTGAGTAACAAGAGCAAAACTCTGTCTCAAAAAAAAAAAAAAAAAAAAAAAAGCAATGAGGTGGGAGACCAGAGTAAGAGAAATCAGTGTTCCAGTTACTTCTGAGTTAGGAATGTAATGGATGACTTTAGCATCTCTCCATAAATGCTGAGAATTCTGAATTCTCAGATCAGAATCTGACCAGGCACATGGCTCATGCCTGTAATCCCAGCGCTTTGGGAGGCCTAGACGACACCTGTCTCTACAAAAAAAATTTTTTAAATTAGCCGGTGGTGGTGGTGCGGGCCTGTAGTCCTAGCTACTCATGAGGCTAAGGTGGGAAGATTGCTTGAGGCCAGGAGTTAGAGGCTGCACTCCAACCTGGGTGACAAAGACAAATCCTGTCTCAAAAAAAAAAAAAATTAACACACAGTAAAAGTTTGTGGCAAAACCAAATAAACTCATTCTGCAAAACCACTTAGAAAGTTAATTGTAATTGAATCATGTCCTCTCAGTTTATCAATGAGCAACAGATATAGCAGGCAGCTCAATTACATCATCCTACACTCTGGAGCTAAGTGATACCACTTTTAATCTACTGTTTACTACAAGAAAATGACTGTCACTATTCTAAACTCCTAAACACCTAGTTAGGACACTAGAGAAACTTCTAGAGGCAAAGGAGCAGCCCTATCTTAGCTGGGCAGATTAAAGATACTCTTTTGACTAATTGGATAACAATCCATTACCAACATTCACAAAAGGACAGAAGGGGCATGTTTTGTGTTTTAATCTCTTTGATAAAGATACAGCATTTGGGCATGGTGGCTCACGCCTGAAAGCCCATCACTTTGGGAGGCCAAGGCAGGTGGATCATTTGAGGTTAGGAGTTTGACACCAGCCTAGCCAACACGGGGAAACCCCGTCTCTACTAAAAATCCAAAAATTAGCCAGGTGTGGTGGCTCAAGCCTGTAGTCCCAGCTACTCAAGAAGCTGAGGCAGGAGAATCGCTTGAACCCAGGACGCAGAGGTTGTAGTCAGCGAGATCACCCCATCATTCCAGGCTGGGCAACAAAGCAAGGCTATGTCTCAAAAAAAAAAAAAAAAAAAAAAATACAGCATTTGGAAAAGCATCTCATTCCCAGAGCACCAGATCGCTATTGAACATTTGAATATCTGCGTCTTATAAGAATTAGAGGTTGAAAGCATCAAGTTTTGAATGCACAATAGCTTGGCAAAAAAGCTTTCACTTGAAAATTTGATGAGCAAGTTCTCCTGGAACCTTCACCAGGCAATCTTTGAAATATACCGAGTTTCGCCTGAAAACTAGTTTTTAACTCAAATAAAGAGACCAAAAGAAACAATCAGTTTACTCATGCTTACTCATTTGGGGAAAAATTACTTGTATACCAGTGTCCAACTCGCTCCTCCACGTCTGAAAGGTCTGATGAGGACTTAGCCTCTGGGACTTCGTGAGGTGGCTAATTTACGGTTTATTTCTGGCCCTCCTACCTCCTCAGAGATGCCAACTAGCAGGGCTCTACATCAGAGACGGGCCTGCGACTATGTAATGGAACAGGAGTGCAGAAAGAAAGCGGGACGGACTACGGAAAGTCATCAAGGACCACACAAGCTTTAATGCAAGGATTACACAACGAGCGAGGGGCGCGGCACACAATAAGTAGCTCTGGAAACGCACTCTCTGACACCTAGAAGTTTTAGGGATTTGGACGGCTGCTTTAAAATACTGGCAAAGGGACATTCTGGGGAGGCAGGAAGAAAACGGCCGCCCAAAGAAGCGACGACCGCGCGCAGGGGCTGAAAGGACCACGGGAACCACGCCAAACCCGGCCCTCAGCCAGGCCGGGCCAGCGGGGTCGGCAGCCTTCGAGGGGAAAGAAGGGTCCGAGGCGCGCCCCAGGTAGCGTGCCCCGCACTCCGGCAGCTCCACTCACCAGGAACTGGAGCATGATGTCGGTGGGGAGGGCGAAGAGGGTGCGAAGGGCGGCTGAAGCTCCGCGGGCCGGTCCGAGCCTGCCTCCCCATGCGCGGGAGCGGAACCCCCAGTCGACTTCCGGGTCACGCCCCGCCCCGCCCCGGTCCCCCGGTCCCCCGGTCCAGTCGCGCCCGGAAGCGACTCGTAGCGTTGCAGCGCCCTGATGTCCCCTGGCGGAGCGCATCGGCCTCACGGCCTAAACCCGCTGGGCAGCGAGCGTGCGCCGGGACAGCGAGGAGCAAGTCCTGAGCCTGGCTGGGCAGCCTTGAGCATCGCCCTCTGTAAACCTGGGCTGGGGCCCAGGAATCTGTATTACTCCCAGCACGCGGACGATTGTAATACACCGCCCAGCTTAGGACTCGCTGACCTAGATGGACCGCGTGGTCAGCGGGTCTCATCCGCAGCTGAATTGTCCTCCACCTATGCCCAGCGGGACTTTGCGAGGAGGAAACGAGGCTTGTAGCTCTCAACGCTCCGCAGGTGTGCTGTGTAACCAGCATTGAGGACCTAAGGTAGAGACTGGGTGTTTAAAAGCTCGGATGGCGGCTGTCTGATGTCAGAAGGCCAAAAACCTTGCCCAGCAGGCTTTCATGCAGGCCCAGTTGAGGGGTTGGTGGTGCCAGTTGGTTTAAACTGGACAAGAGCTGACCCCAACTTCCTGAAAAACAACTTAGGAAACCTTTATCAAGCAACCTAGATGTCAGAGATGGTATCCATAGGAAGCTAGTGGGAGCTTAGATATACACTGTTTATTTCTTAGACATAAACACACAGAAAGGAAGATATGATCATTACTTTATGAATCTGTCATTTTGCAATATTGGTATTATCAAGAAATAGGGACAGTTCACTCAGATTCAGATTTCAGTAGCAGGAAATAAATATCAGAACATCATCATTGTACCTCTACAAAATCTCCACACTACCCAATATTGCCCTTCCTACTCAACTCCAAAGGACCACTCCCTGGTGGCTGCCACTTCGCTGCTGACATCTCCAGGACATACCACGAGGGTCATGTGGCCCTCCGTAATGCTGGCACCGCGGGCTTAAACAAGGCTGAGAAGCAGGAGTGAAACACGCCAAAGGCTCCGTGCTGCAAATAACACCCACTTTCTTTTTACACAACAAACTTCTTTAAGGATCTGGTCATTCAACTGGAACGATAAATAGCTTTTTAGAAAAAGATTTAAAAGTCCTTAAAAAGGAGAAAGTGTAAATCTTGAATACTCCAAACCAGTCATCTTCTTAAAGGAGAGCAGTTCACGATTCTCAAAATCTATTCAACAGAGGCGAGCAAGCGTGGTCCGGGAGGCAGCCTGCATGGGGAAGATGTCCTCCAGGTATGTGCCTGGCAGGGCTGGAGGAGCTGGTGGGGTGAGCAGGATACTGTGCTCAGAGGTCTGGCTGGCCATCTGTCCTCCACAGAAAAAGCTGCCATCAACTTAGGGTGTTTCGGTCCAAAAAATCCTGGTGGGGACAGGGAATCCCTGAAGGGTATACGTTTAAAAAAAAAAAAGTCATAGTGGAAATGGGGAAGGAGCTTTCTTGGGGGGTGGGGGGAGGGTCACCCAGGCTGGAGTGCAGTGGTGCTATCTTGGCTCACCACAACTTCCACATCCTGAGCTCAAGCAATTATCCTGCCTCAGCCTTCTGAGTAGCCGGGATTACAGAGGTGCGCCACCAGGCCAGCTAATTTTTTTTTTTTTCATTCTACTTTAAGTTCTGGGGTACATGTGCAGATCTTGCAGGACTGTTGCATAGATACACAGGTGCCATCGTTGTTTGCTGCCTCCATACCCCCATCACCTACATCAGGCATTTCTTCCAATATAATCCCTCCCCAACCTCCCCACCCCCCACTGTCCCTCCGCTAGCCCACTACCCACCAACAGAAACCAGTGTGTGATTTCACCTCCCTGTGCCCATGTGTTCTCATTGTTCAACACCCACCTAAGAGTGAGAACATGCGATGTTTGGTTTTCTGTTCTTGTGTCAGTTTGCTGAGAATGATGGTTTCCAGATTCATCTATGTCCCTACAAAGGACATGAACTCATCCTTTTTTATGGCTGCACAGTATTCCATGGTGTATACGTGCCACATTTTCTTTGCCCAGTCTATCATCAGTGGGCGTTTGGGTTGGTTCCAGGTATTTGCTATTGTAAACAGTGCCACAGTGAACATACGTGTGCATGTGTGTTTATAATAGAATGATTTATAATCCTTTGGGTATATACCCAGTAATGGGATTGCTGGGTCAAATGGAATTTCTATTTCTAGGTCCTTGAGGAATCGCCACACTGTCTTCCACAATGGTTGAACTAATTTACACTCCCACCAACAGTGTTAAAGTGTTCCTATTTCTCCACATCCTCTCCAGCATCTTTAGTCTCCAGATTTTTTAATGTTCGCCATTCTAACTGGTGTGAGATGGTATCTCAATGTGGTTTTGATTTGCATTTCTCTAATGACCAGTGATGATGAGCATTTTTTCATGTTTGTTGGCCTCATGTATGTCTTCTTTTGAAAAGTGTCTGTTCATATCCTTTGCCCACTTTTGAATGGGTTTATTTCTTGTAAATCTCCTTTGGTTCTTTGTAAATTCTGGATATTAGCCCTTTGTCAAATGGGTAGATTTGCAAAAATTTTTTCCCATTCTGTTGGTTGCTGGTTCACTCTGATTGTTTCTTTTGTTGTGCAGAAGCTCTTAAGTTTAATTAGACCCCATTTATCTATTTTGGCTTTTGTTGCCAATGCTTTTGGTGTTTTAGTCATGAAGTCCTTGCCTATGCCTATATCCTGAATGGTATTGAGGCCAGGCTAATTTTTTTAATTTTAGTAGAGACAGGGTTTTATTATGTTGGCCGGGCTGGGCTCGAACTCCTGACTTTAAGTGATATGCCCACCTCAGCCTCCCAAAGTGCTGGGATTAGGTGTGAGCCACTGCACCAGGCCCCAAGAGCTTTTACATAAATTTTTTTTTTTTAATTTTTAAGGGAGAAAGAGAAAAATCATCTCTGAAATGGTTCTGAGGAAACTGAAAGGAGGATGATGAAGACAGTGTTTATTACTGGCCTGCCCCGAGTAACTCAGCTGGCTTCCATCTGGAGTTTCTTCCTACTTCAGGGCTCTTCAGGCTCCAACTCTGAGCTGGAGTCGGGGCCCCCATCAAAGGCAGAGGCCATGCTGCCCTTGGCATTGCTGTAGAGGATGCTGTCTTAGGAGGGACAGTTAACTTGCAGCTGGGCACTTGACCTCCCCTTTGGTGCATGGACTTGCTTCTTCAGAAGACCATTCTGATGCTGAGGTCATCAGTATCTCACTGGCGTGTGGTTTTCCCTTTGCATATGCTGGATGTACTCTGTGGCTTTGTGTAGGATTTGGGCCCAGGATGCCTTCTTTCCTTAGAGTGATGGGGCTGAGTCGCACAAACTGAAAGCTGTCTTTGATGTGGTCCCTATTATTTCATTCCAGTGCATTATGATAGGCTCGTTTGTCAGCTGCAGATTGAAATCTCGGTTGTTTCTTGTCACTCTCCACCTCGACGTCATCATGATCACTCATTTCCTAGAGCCCAGGGAGCAGCCGCAGCAGCAGCCCGGGGAGGAGGCAGGGCAGAGGGGTCTGAGGAAGTCACTGACAAGAATCAGAATCCCCTGCCTACACACACACACTCACTCGCTCTTAATCACACAAAACACGAGCAAGAACCACCTCCTCACTCCCAAACTCTCAGTTCCAAATTTAGCTATATGTCTTGCTTGTTAAGAAGCCTTCATACTTCAGAGGTTTATAAAATGCTTTGATTTCATGCCCAGGCTCTTTGCTAATTATTTCTAAGTTCATGCCTGTGCTCCAGAAGATGGAGATGATCACATACCTGACCAGCGGAGCACTACGCACTATGACTACATTTTGGATCCAGTTATTTATTCTTTCACATCCAGGACTTCTGTTTACTAACAGAATAATGTTTATAACTGGTGGGCAGGAAATTAATTACAAAATATAACACTGACAAAGCCTTTATATTTCTTTTTATTTTTTTAAACCTGACAGCATAACTTCCTCTAAGACAAAGCTGTTTTAAAATGATGCTTGAAGGCCAGGTGCAATGGCTCACACCTGTAATCCCAGCACTCTGGGAGGCTGAGGCGGCCAGATCACTTGAGATCAGGAATTCGAGATCAGCCTGGCTAACATAGTGAAACCCCATCTCTACTAAAAATACATTAGCTGGGCATGGTAGTAAATAAATGCCTGTAATCCCAGCTATAGGGAGGCTGAGGCAGGAGAGTCACTTGAGCCCGGGAGGCGGAGGTTGCAGTAAGCCAAGATCATGCTACTGCACTCCAGCCTGGGCAACACAGTGAGACCCTGTCTCCAAAAAAAAAAAACAAAAAAAAACTAATACTACAGAATAACTATCAATTCTATTCTATAGTATTATAGTGTTTATTCTGTTACTACATGAAAGTGAATACTTTCTCCTCTCAGCAGTCTTGCCTATGTGTTAGGCAGAAATAATTGCTGGCTGGCAAGGGAAATTTGCAGTTTCAGATGATGTAGTTACTTAAACGTGAAAACAACTGGGTAAGAAATAGAGTGGTGATTATGTAAATGTTTTGTCCTAGGGATAACCATCCTATTAATTACATGAGAAATATTGGCAGATAATTAATTAAAGAAATTTCACATTCATTTCTAAGGAATACATGCAAATGATTATTGAGTCAGCTCTCCATATCCCCAGGTTCAACATCTGCAGATTTAACCAACCACAGATCACAATTTTCGGGGGGAGAAAAACCCAATATAACAGTAAAAAATAATACAAATTTTAAAACATAGTATAACAACTATTTATATAGAATTTACATTGTATTAGGTATTATAAATAATCTAGAAATGACTTAAAGTAGGATGTATCTATATTATATGCAAATACTATGCCATTTTATATGAGGAACATGCATACAAAACACAGGTTTTGGTATCTCTGGGAGCGCTGGAACCAGTCCTCCCCAGATACCAAGGGACAACTGTATTGTCAACTTACATGCAGAAAAGAAAAAAAAAAAAAGTTTAATAATTTTAGGAAAGAACTTGACTTTTTCAGACATTTCTATAATACATTTTCACAATATTGAGTACACTATAAGAGCATGGCTAAAGTTTAGTAACCATGAATATTATAATAGTGTAATGTAGGTACAAAGAGTGAAAAAAATAGAATTTTCAGGCTATGCCTTTAATTTGGCATTCAGAATAATATCTCTAGGTGAAAACCACCACAGTTGGTTTATTTGTTAGAATCCTGATA